AAGGAGATAAAATAAATATTGATGAAGGTTAAGAATTTTGCGTTTTATTTAAAATTTCCCGAAAACTTTTCGGTCACAATGTACATCAATATCGTTCAGCTCAGAGAAGTGGCAGTAAGAAGGCAAAGATGGAGGCAATTTGTAGATAGCGTATGCCCAGTATAAAGGCAGTTTGAAATCATGCCAAGCAGGGCTTCATAAATAAATATTAAGGAATTGCTTGTTGTCACCAAGCTCTACAATTTTTCATAAAAATATATTAGAATGAAAGAAGAATATGAAATATTTAGGCGTTATATTAGACCTTTAACTTACGTTTAAACTATATGTGTACTACTATTGTAAAAAAATATCAAACTCCTTATCAAAAGACAATCAATACTTGTCAGAATTAAGTTTCTCCTAGTAATACTCTATGATTCCCCACCATGGAATAATACTTCCAGTTCTAGCATAAAACGACAACAGATTAAACAAAATAAGCTGCTTAAAATGTTTTAAAAACTAAAGAAAACTAGGATAAGAAATATATACTTTCGTGTATATGTGTACTATATTTCCATCCATCATAAAAAGAGCGGAAAACGTTCAAATACCAAAACCCTTAACTACTTTTAATTAAGTTACCTCAAATCATAAACTTTTTTTAAATGAACTATTAAATAATATTCAAACTTACCTCTTTTTCGAAATCATTAATTTCATCCAAATATTGTAATCCCAAACGTTTTTGCAAATTCTCTAAAACTCTGCTTAAAGTATTTACATTAGTTTCAAGTTTCGTTAAACGGTTAGTGTTCCATATCTGAAAAATATATAAAAGATAAAATAAAATAATAGTTAATTATGCTTCATATACTGTATTAAATAATAAAAAATAACTATTCTCTCAAATTAGGAGAGTTTCAGTCGTATGTTTTAGGCTTTTGTATTATCTTTAGATGTATTTAAGATATCCTTTGATATCCTTTGAATACGAATTAAAGTCTACTGAATCTATGCTAAATTTATTTTTTTTTTAATGCCACTGTATACTGTATAATCTTAATTACATTAGCTTTCTACATACACAATTTCCAACATATATCGGCAAATTTCTTAAGGTTTTCAGGCATTAAAACAATTTCTAAGTAATCCGACCTTTTATACTGTTGAATTTGACCAGATTACTGCACTGTCTTAAGACTTGCAGATACACTTTAGATTCATTTATGGTCTTTCAATTTTTGGATCAATGCCATCATATATGAGTTCATAAGTGAAGTTGAAGACATGAAGTCGTTCATTCCCTTAAATCTCTTCATTTGATGATTTTGACTCTAATTTTTTTTAAATTGTTGGTATTTTTCTCTTCTCTATATTTTTATGTATGCATATGTTGCTAAACCAATTTAACTGCCAGATGTTTATAATTTACCGAAATTCAATTTGGACTTCGACTTCTGCTGCTTTGTTCATTGTAATCTTACTAATAGTATCATGAATTTCTCTATAAATATTATAGCTCGCTTGACATTTGTAGCAAGATATTTCCATAATCACTGTGTTATTGGTATGGTTCATGGAGCTAGAGCTATTACTCATCTCGAATATTCTGTTATATTTCTGTTAGTCTTCACTTGTTAAACTTGTTGTTGTGTTCACTACTAGAAAACATGTATTTTATGCTACAATTATTAGTCAATTAGAAATTTTTAATAAAGTAGAATTTTTCTAAAAAAATATTAATATTTCCTGTTCTGTTAAAACAATTGGCATTAAGATCGACCAATGTCTTTGATTTCAGATTATAACTAAATATTTTTGAGTCTAATAATACAGCAAATGTACAGCATTATTCTGAAAAGATAATGGCTATTGAAAGTGGATGCTTCAGAGTGTATTGCTACAACATTCAATTCGTTTCTAAGTGCCTTTGTTGATCTGGATTTTTTAAAATGAGCTCCAGCAGAAATTTTACATCTATTAGAAAAAACAATAATTCTAAAGAGCTTTGTTTTATATCATAATTACTTAAAAGCTAAAACGCTCAGAAATTAAATATTTTGAAAGATGTGATCCACTTTAATGATACATTTATATTAAATAAATTTTTAATGATGAAGAATATTGCAGTGCTTGACAGTACTTTTGTTTCTTCTTCTCTTTTTTTAATAAGACCCTAATTAGATATTATTTATCTAGACAAGTGGTTCTAGGGAAAAATTCAAAATACTCAATTTTGTTGTATAATTATTTAATATTAATGTACAATTACACATTAGTTTTTAAATACTTGTTACATTACATTAATGTATAATTAATTAATTACATGTTAATTTTAATTTAAAATTTGAAAAGCATTTCTGCTATGAAAGGATTTTTTGTGCTTTTTTGCACAAATTAATTTATAAACATATTTTACTAAATATATTGAAAAGGCAAAATATATAAAGCCATCAGCACAGAAAACAACTGATAGATGTCACCTTTTAACATTTCATCTTTTATGATAAAAACCCTTTATATTGCATTACTAAACCAATTTTGCTGTTTAGAATGATTACTATAATTAAAGAATCTATAACTGACTAACACAAACTAATTTAAACAATTTTAATAAATTTTACTTTTTTAGTAAACCAATACAAACGTATTGATCTTATATTACAGTTATACCTCGTTTTCACTATGTCATTTCGAATGTCAAATATTGTCATATAATGTCATATTCACAATCTTGTCATGTAATGAAAACACATTTGACACAGCATTCAATTACAATTGTCATTTAAAATGACAAAGTCAAAACAAAGCATTAGTGTTAGAATTTATTTCAGATATTTTAATCAATGAGTTTATCAATATGCAAGCTTTTTAGAAACCCTAGATATTTAAACAGATCATTTTTTGGTCTTGCAAACTTTTATTACAAACCTAAGATTTGTAATAAATTGATTTCTCTGTATTCAAGATCATCTCACAAACCTAGTTATTTCGTTAAAACATCTTTTTTTTATAAAGACTAGAACTAATAACTACAAACCCTTGTTTTTACAATGGTCGCATATTGATCCACAAAACAAAAAATGGTTCTGTCAAATGTTGTTGAACACCGCAAAGAAACTGTAAGACTTTTCGTTGAATATAATTAGCACACAGAATCTTTTGTGATTAGGAATACAAGTCTATTGTCTAGATTTATTATCGAAATTAAACAGTGTTTATCCTAATTAAATTTACTGCCATTACTACATATATACGAATAAGTTCTTACATCAAATGACAAACAGATTTCTAAATAAAAGGAATAGTTTGACAAACACTTAACTTTACTAAAATCCTTTCTATAATTGATAGACGCCTATTAATTATAGACAAGCACATGACCTACAATATCCATTTCCATTATACAATGTGAAAAAGTAAAAGTCAGAAAACTATTAAAAAAATATAATGGCCTGTTAAATGCTATGAAATCGATGCGAGTAGCTTAATTAAAATTTTAAGACCACTCTTTAAAGTAACTTAAATCTCATAAAATCTTAAACAAATTTTACTTGACATATATGAGATGCGTTTAATTACTTACTAAGAAAGAAACAAACATAGTTTCGTGCAAATCGATTGTAAGTTGCTCTGTTGATAGCTAACGACTTATCATCGAACAATGTAGTTTATAATATAATAATCCATTGTATCTTATCTTCATAGACTTCGAAAAAGATTTTGAATTCATATGAAATCATGCATATTTTAAGATGTATTGGAAATCATAAGTGTCCTCATGAAAAATATTAACTTGATACATTTAAGAACTGATATTAGCAAAAATATGATTTTTTTTTCTTTACTTTTTTTAAAATATGGTTAATATACCAAGTGATATACATATGTATATATATACAAAAATGTTCTGTAAGTGGGAACAATTTTGTGAGATTACTCGTACCATGTGCTAAATTCATTTTTGTGTAAACAAATAGAGATCACATCTATGAAACAGAATGATAGACCCACCATCCTGTTATCCTGAAGATCACCCTGATTAATTTAACTTATATCTGGTGCTATCTGGGTAAATAAGCTCTGGCTATTTATTTAGAGGCTCCCTAAAATAATTTGCAAATCATTATATATTTCATTATAGTATAAATATTATAAAATATAAAATAATAAATAAAATATATATATTGTTACGAATTTCATCAGAGTAGCTATGAAATGTTTAAATATTATTTAAACATTACTTCAATTGATATTTTTTTATAAGAAGTTAGTTTGGAAATTTGTTTGGTGTGAAGCTGTATTTTTATTAAAGTGACTCCTAATAAATACTAGTTCTTTGTATTACACAAAATATATAAGTAAGTTTCTTCAATCCTAATAATTCGTTTCATTTTTCACAAAATCCTGAGATACGAATAATCACGCAGGCGATTACGTAACATTTGGTGTCAGAAGTGGGATTTTGTAAAAATGGCGAAATTGGAAGAATTAACTGTGGTTCAACTAAAAAAACAGTTGGAGAAATTGGGACTTGGCACAGGTGGTACGAAAACAGAATTACAATTGAGACTTCGTGAGGCGTTGGAGGCTAATAGCATAAATGTAGAAGAACACGAATTCTTCGATAAAAAACCTGATAAGAATAGTGAAATTGTGGCAATCATGAACTTAATGATGCAGAAGCTGGAGAAAAATTCAGAAGAACAGGCGCACAGTTCACGTAAGTTGGAAGAAAAGCTGGAACAAAAGTCTAATGAAATCACGCAGAAATTAGAACAAAATTCTGCAGAATTAAAGATTGAGTTGCAACAAGTCCAGGAGAGATGCTCGAAGAGAATAGACCAGACTGATCAGAATGTTCAGATCTTAAAAGATGAGATGGCTCAGTTGAAAAGCCAAGTTGAAAATATGCAACTAAGTGGGTCGACTTCAGCCATTGTTCGTGAAATTGGTGGCTTTAAACTAAAACCACCGACGTTTGATGGAAGCGTAACCTTTGAAGTCTTCAAACTACAATTTGAAACAACAGCTGCAACAAATCATTGGAATGTTGATGAGAAAACGGCAGCTCTAATTGTGGCATTAAAAGGTAATGCGGCAGATGTTTTACAGCAAATTCCACCCGAGGAACGTAAAAACTATCAAATGGTAATGGACACATTGAAGCGTAAGTATGGTAACGATTTTATGAGTCCATTGCACAGAGTAGAGCTGAAAGCTAGAGTCCAGCGTGTTGGGGAGAGTCTCCAAGAATACTCTGCTGACATTGAACGTTTGTGTAATTTGGCATACGTTGGTAACTCTAGTGATTTTATGGAGAAGAGTAAAATTGACAGTTTCATAGACGGAATACGTGATCCGGAAACCAAGCGACAGGTCGTAATGTTCCCGAAGAAGACTTACTCTGAAACAGTCAGCTACGCATTGACGTACGAAGCTGCCGGTATTATGTGTCGTCCTACAGCAAAAATACAGAAAATAGAAACTGATGCGGATGACCTGGTAGAAGTAATTCGTCAGATGAAAGTTGCCTTAGTTAGAAATGGCAACAAGTTTAATGGAAGATGTTTTGTCTGCGACAGACTTGGACACATGGCGCGAGACTGTCGTCAACATCGGAAACGGTCACGATCAAGCTCTCCATCGGAAAAGAAACATCACGATAGCAATTCTAACGGGGCTAATAAGCCTTCGTTAAACTAACGAGAGTCAGTTCGAAGGGGCATGAACTGACTTCAGTAAATGATTGCTCCATCATCCTCGTCTCACAGTTAAAGCGGGTACCCAACAGCCTAACCATCGATGGAAAAATTAACAATATGCCGTTTATTTTGACTTTGGACACTGGTGCTTCACATTCGATAATAAAAGGAGGCCTAGAAAAGAATTGTACATCATTGGCTGGTCTAAAACTTCGAACAGCAATGGGTGAAGAGGCGCCAATACTAGGAAAGGTCATGAAACGAATCACTTTAGGTGGCTATGAATTTCAACATGAATTCATGGTCGCCGATATCACCGATGACGTGATTATTGGTATAGATTTTATGATCACGCATGGAATTACACTGGACTTAAGTAGAAAAATGTTACGATACATGGATATCGAATGTCCACTAAATACTGGATATCAGCGCAGTAGCAGTGTAAGACAGATCCGGTTGTGTCAAAATCAGAAAATACCAGCGAATTCAGAGGCGATCGTATGGGCAAAAATAAATGGAGGGGAAAGGACAAGTAAGTTGTGGGTCGTTGAAGCCGTAAGAAAAATCCGAATGAACGACATCTTACTGGGGAAAACATTAGTAGAGCCAAAAGTAGATGGTAGCATACCTGTCCGACTCTTGAATTTATCTGGTACACCAAAGTTTATAAAAAAAGGGGCAATAATTGGTGAATGTCAAGAGGTTTCAGCTGTGGTTAATTGTAGTGAAAATTCCGAAGTAATGAAAAAAGAAACCATTGCAGAAAAGGAGGAAACAATGGCGCAAGTGCTAAGTTGGACTAAGGAACTCAATGCACGTCAGAAAAGAAAGGCGATGCAGGTCATACGGAAGAATTGGTCAATTTTTGCGCTCAAGGGAAGAACTTCTATTGCAAAACACGAAATTGACACTGGTGATTCTAAACCAATTCGTCAGGCGCCTCGAAGAGTTCCACTGGCAAAAAGAGATGAGGTAACCAGTCTAGTTGCGGGTATGCAAAAAGAAGGTGTTATTGAGTCATCGGCAAGTCCATGGAGTTCGCCGGTAGTACTTGTAAAGAAGAAAGATGGAAGTACACGGTTCTGCGTAGATTATCGTAAGCTGAATGATGTTACAAAGAAAGACAGCTATCCACTACCAAGAATCGACGATACTCTCGACACTTTATCTGGCGCACAATGGTTCTCAACTCTTGATCTACGAAGCGGCTATTGGCAGGTAGAACTTAAAGATGAAGACAAAGAGAAGACTGCAAACCATCACCGACACTAAGTCGGTGATGGTTTGTGGCAATTCACGGTTATGCCGTTTGGACTCTGCAATGCTCCGGCCACTTTTGAACGTCTCATGGAGCGCGTCTTAAAAGGACTAACCTGGAAATCTTGTTTAGTCTACCTTGACGATATAATTGTAATGGGTAAAGACTTCGACAATCACCTAGAAAAGTTAAAAGAAGTATTCGAGCGAATACAAGCTGCTGGTTTAAAGCTGAATTCAAAGAAGTGCTCACTTTTCAAACGTGAAATCAAATATCTTGGTCACAAAGTAACCCCAGAAGGCGTACATACTGATGATGAGAAAATTGCAGCAGTGAAGGAGTGGCCACAACCAACAAATTTGCATGATCTTAGAAGTTTCCTGGGGCTCTGTACCTATTACAGACGATTCGTTCCTGGCTTCGCGAATATTGCCAGTAGTCTATACGAATTAACTAAAAAGAACCAATCTTTCAAATGGGGTGATGAAGAAAATGAAGCTTTTGAACAGCTTAAGGAACGACTCTGTGCAGCATCAGTTTTGGCGTATCCAATACCTGGGAAAACCTTTATATTGGACACAGATGCGAGTGGCTCTGGAATAGGCGCAGTGTTGTCTCAAATAACGGATGGGCAAGAAAAAGTGATAGCGTACCACAGCAAAATCTTGTCTAAGCCAGAAAAGAACTACTGTGTCACACGAAAGGAGTTACTTGCGATAATGGTATGTGTGAAGCATTTCCACAAGTACTTATACGGCCAGAAATTCCTCCTCAGAACTGACCATGCAGCACTTAAATGGTTGCTGCGGTTTAAAGAACCGGAAGGTCAGCTGGCGCGGTGGATTGAACGTTTACAAAGTTACGACTTTACTATTGAACATCGTAAAGGAAGCCATCATGGAAACGCTGATGCATTATCACGTCGCCCTTGTGGCCTCGAGTGCAAACATTGTTTACGGATCGAAAATAAAGAACACATTGTGGATATACGTCTGATTAATGCTCTTCCAGAGGAGTCCTGGACCAATGAGCAGATACAAAAAGAACAGCAGAATGATGCAGACCTCTCCAAAATAATGGAAAGTAAAGAGCGAGGCATTCGGCCGGAATGGCAGGAAATGGCAGGTGAAAGTCCGATAGCTAAGGCATACTGGGCGCAATGGCAGAGCTTGCATCTGAAGGATGGTTGTTTATATCGGGTATGGGAAAGTGAGAATGGTAAAACCATTAATAACCTCCTGGTAATACCGAAGTCCCGCATTGACGAAGTTGTCTCAGAATACCATAATGCATCTAGTGGAGGTCATTTGGGCGTCACTAAAACTGTGGAAAAGATCAAGAGACGTTTTTATTGGGTCGGGTGCCAAGATTCGGTTGCGGACGTTATACGGAAATGCGTTCCATGCACTACACCAAAAGGTCCGAATACTAGAAGCCGTGGAAAAATGCAACAATATAACGTTGGTGCTCCTTTTGAGAGAATTGCAATGGATATAGCTGGACCTTTCCCTACTAGTAACGCACAGAACAAATACGTGCTGGTAGTAATGGATTACTTCAGTAAGTGGCCAGAAGTCTATCCAATTCCAAATCAAGAAGCCAGCACGATAGCAGAAGTTTTCTTAAACAATTGGGTTACGCGATTCGGTGTTCCAATGGAACTGCATTCAGATCAGGGGCGAAATTTCGAGTCAACAATCTTTAGAGAAATTTGCACATTACTGGGAATAAATAAAACTCGTACAACGCCTTTACATCCGCAGTCGGATGGAATGGTTGAACGATTTAATCGTACATTAAACGAGTACCTCAGGAAAGTGGTTGATAAAAATCAGAAAGACTGGGACGTTCATATTCCAATGTTCCTACTTCGATAGGCAAGTATGTCTGCACGACATAATTCTACATCAACTACACCAGCAAGAGCAGTTTTTGGCGCCGACATCAGATTACCCGCGGACTTAAAATTTGGAATAACGCCACTTTGCGGCAAGA